GTATCGTCTGTTATGCAACGGACATCCTTTCTGGCGTCCATTATGAAACAAGCTTTCCCTCTGGTATATTAAGCTCAAGGACTTAAGGTAGATTTATCGCGAATTTTTACTTCCCGACATCAAGCTACTTTCTAATAATCAGGAAGCAGAACCACGTGGGGAACCGCAACTATGAGCAAAAAAGCGTGCCTGCCAATGGCGAGAAGAGCATCCATCGCTGACATAGAATCAATTGGCCAATAAAGCGCAGAAAGAGTTTGCTTTAGTCATACGCCCTGCACAAGCTACTATTTCAACAATTCTGAAGGAGAGCGAGCGCTATCTTAGCATCCGCGAAGAAGACAGATCAGCCCGCCGCTCGCGGATTATACTGTTTCCTGAATTGGGTGTAGCTAAGGCAAAGGCCCGATTCTGAGAGTTGAGCCATAGGGTCAGATACAGCTCTCAAATGGCTGGTTGCAATCATTTCAACTACGACACGGATTCAAAAGCCTTAGTACACACGGGGAACGTAAATCTGTCAACACCACTGCACTCCCAAATTAGCAACCTTATGGGGTGGTTCATTAAAATTTGAAACACCATTATTATCTGTTTTAGGTTTTATTTTATTATTTGTTATGGGTGGAGTCTTTTAGATAACATCCAGGTAACCGTGCCTGAATACACTCTTGGAGACGTCTACAAGTTTAACGAGACAGGCTTGTTCTACAAGCTTTGTCCGGACAAAGCTATTGCTACCTATCCAAATGAAGGCTCCAAAAAGAACAAAACTAGAATTACGGTCGCGCTGGCTCACAATGCAGATGAATCCAACACCCGAGAACCACGTTTTATTATATTATATTCCAACCTCGCTGTTTTAAGAAGAACACAGCAGAGCAATTGGGTTTTTCGTATCGGAACAACAAGAAAGCGTGAATGACTGTAGTTTTGTTTCGCGAGTGACTGTGCAGCTTTGAAGCAGACATGGAAAACCAGAAGCGAAAGAAAGTTCTGGTGATGGATAATGCCTCCTGTCTCATAGAGGTAGGCTTGGACCTGGAGTGTGTGAAGGCATTTTGACTTGCCGCTGAATACCAAATCTAAGTTGCAGCCGCTTGATGCAGGCATCATTGCGGCATTGAAGCGGCGGTATCGACGCAGACAACTACAACAGGCGCTTGACAAAGAAGAAGAAGATCTTAATCGTCATATCTACGACGTAGATCAGTTCTTAGCAAAGTGGTGGGTGAAATCGTGCTGGCGCGAGCTGGGTCGTGCCGAGGCCGGTGATCTTGTCTTAACCTGCTTTCAACACACTAAGATGGTGCCTCGGATGACATCAAACCGTCGCTCTCGACGGGAGGCGGATTAACTTCTGAACTACGAGATTTTTTACTGCTTGAACCGTCACCGAGTTCGAGATCCAATGAACATCGACGATTTCGTTTGCAATGGTGCTGATAGAGATAGTGCAATGGAGTCCCTAACGAGAAAAGAGCTGCTAAGTGACTCGACTGGTTTGCCGTTTATTGATAGAGCGGGGGATGAACCTAATGATGATGTCGATACTGCGTCCGTTCAGAGTGACACCTACACACTACACAAGAGAAAGTGGATGCAATACGGAGTGTCATTTTCATGTTTCTACAGGACCAGGACCTTGATGCAAAACTGCTGGGAGCTCTCCGAAAGCTACAACTACGCGTACGGGATCAACTCCGCTGTGAACAAGACGCTAAAACTACCCAGACATCGATAACCAGCTCTTTCAGGCAAGCGGAAGACTATTAGATCTGCAGAATTGAAGATCACTTATAATATTCAACAGGTATCATTTTTACTCGATATATTTTACTAACTACCGCGTCGGTGGATTGCCCTGATATCATATATAGGAGTATCTCGGGTTTACAGTATCAGGTATCGGTTAGGAGAAGCCAAAGAATAAACATGTTAAAACATGTAGTAAAATCTTGACGGAATCTGTATTATATTTTCATACAGATTCAGTCATTAAAAAAAATGAATTGATACCCTTTTGAGACGTACCTTCAATACATACGAATGGAGTCTACTGCGTCTAACGACTACGCGCCCCCGCGCGAGCTGGAAGTCAATTCTAGCGACGCCATTCGCTTGATCCTGCAGTTCTTGCGGGAGAATCGCTTGTTTGGCGCCATGCGTGCGTTGCAGGAAGAATCACAAGTGAGTCTCAACGCCGTGGAGTCGGTGGATGCGTTGGCCAGCGACATCTCGCACGGCCGTTGGGACCGCGTTCTGCAGCAAACTAAGGCACTTGAATGCAGCACGACGGCAATGATGGACCTGTATGAGCTGGTGGCGCTCGACATGATGGAGGCGCAAGAGAGCGACGTGGCCGTGCAACTGCTACGCACTACTCCAGTCATGGCCACGATGAAACAGACACAGCCAGAGCGCTATCTACGGCTCGAAAAACTGGCTCAGCGTGTTATCTTCGACCCGGCCGAGGTATATGCTGGTAGCAGTAAGCAGAAACGGCGTGACGACGTTGCACAGCTTTTCCGCCATGAGGTGGCTAGTGTGGAGCCGTCCCGACTGCTGGTTCTGCTGGGCCAAGCTCTCAAATGGCAGCAGATGCAGGTACTGACGGAGTTTGAAGGAGGTTTTAGAGTGTTGGTATCGAATATTCACCTTTTAATTTGTGTTGTTGCAGGGTCTGGTGGCACCTGGAGAAGATTTTGATCTGTTTCGAGGAGGAGCAAAGGAGAAGGTGGTGGACCGATCCGAAAAACTGGTGCGAAAACCCGCGGGTAAGATCAAGTTTAGCAAGACCTCCATGCCTCAATGCGCGCAGTTTAGTCGTGACGGACGGATGCTTGTGACGGGTGCGAAGGACGGATTTGTGGAGGTCTGGGACTTTGAAAAGTGCAAGTTGCGAAAGGATCTGGACTATCAGGCAAAGGTGCACGGAAATACTGATACTTTCGTGACACTACTACCTACGTGCTAACATTTGTCTAAATCTTATCAGGATGAATTTATGATGCACGACGCAAGTGTGACGGCCGAAGCTTTCAGTCGGGATGGAGAGTTATTGGCAACAGGTAGTGAAGACGGCAAGGTCAAGGTGTGGAAGGTTTCAACGGGGATGTGTCTACGTCGCTTTGACAATGCTCACAGTCAGGGCATTCAAAGCATCGCGTTCTCGCGAGATGGCACTCAGCTGCTGACGGCATCATTTGATCATCTTGTTCGCATTCACGGTCTCAAGTCAGGCCAGACATTGAAGGAGTTTCGTGGCCACCAGAGCTACGTCAACACGGCTTTCTTCTCATCAAACGGCAGCAAGGTTATATCGACGTCCAGTGATGGCACGCTGAAGATCTGGAATGCCAAGACGACAGAGTGTCTGCAGACTGTACGACCACCCAGCGAGTCCTATACTGCAGAAGTGGATATCGTGAGTGCGTTGCTGACACCTATCGCGTCTGGAACGGATGAAGACATCATTATTTGCACACGCACCAGTGAAATGCTTCGCGTGTCAATGGGGGGAGAAGTTTTGCTGACTTACAAAGGAGATCCATTCAACGACAAGAAGGTTGGAAACTTTGTTGCCTGCACGCTCTCAATGCGTGGCAAGTGGCTGTACGGCGTGACCGACAAGGGCTTTATCGTAAGCTTTGCCGCAGCCACTGGAGAACTCGAGACGTCGATGCAAATCTGTAACGCAGACGCATTCGGCATCGCCCACCATCCGCACCGCAATATTGTAGCCACTTACGGCAGTGACCGGTACGTTCGACTGTGGAAAGCGTGATACTGCGGATAGAGTATCAACAGAATAGATTTTGGCAGTTGTGGAGATGCATCGTGTATGGTTATCTAGTTTTTCTTGCCCTTCTTGCCCTTGCCTGACTTCCTCTTGCCCTGCTGCTGCTGTTTTTCACGCTCTTCTTCGAGCGCCAACTCTTCTCCAAGCTGGTACGGAGACCGGAACGACGCCGAAATATCGCTAGACGCAGTCGTGGCAGCTCCCTGCACGCGAGAGCCAAATCGGCGCTCGACACCTTCGTTCTCCGAGGTATCCCACAACGCTAGTACACCCTTAGAACCACCAACGCCGAGCATGAACGGCGAGTCCTGGTAGAATGATAGTGTGAACAATTCACCCTGCAGAACAGCATCGGTGTAAAGTCAGTAGAGGCCACAACAATATACTACAGCAGTTTCTACGTACCACATTCATCTCCTTGGAGGTGACGCATACAGGGGCATTGTCCTTGAGGTCCCAGAGTTTGACAGTTTTGTCAACGCCAGCAGTCGCAAGCAGACCAGGTACCTGGGCAGAAAAAGAAATGGCTGACACGGCACCAGCGTGTGCGTCGAAACGGAACAGAGGAGCCGAGCCGTTCATTCGCACGTCGAAGCCCACAACAACACCGTCTTCCGAAGACGCTACAATGGTGCTCGGATTGTGCGGCGCCCACGCAATGCTCTCCACCTCGGCAGACAACTGAAACTTAGAGAAAGCGTCGGGCTGACGACCATCCAGCACAACAATCGTCCGGTCGAAAGACGCACTAGCAAGCACCGTAGTCTCAGCCGGATTCCAGCGTACACTCTGCACCTTGTTGCTGTGGTGCGCCATGGTGTACAAGCACTTCTGTGTCGTAATATCCCACACCTTAACGGTAGAATCAGCGGAGCCACTGGCCAGCATGTTGCGGTGGCTGCTGTTCCAGTCGAGCGACATGACAGCGTCCTGGTGGCTACCAGGTTTGAGCGCCGTCTTGCGGTTCTTCCGTCGCTTGGACACCTTGGGCATTGCCACATCGCGCAGGTCTTCATCCTGTTCACCGCCGAGCGTTGCTGACGGCTCAAGCACGTCCAGTACATTGAGATCCCAGATCTCAATACCAGGCTTGAACGTACCCACCGCGACAAAGCTGCCGTCCACCGGACCTGTAGTTGGGTCCAATGGGACAGGAGCACAGTCCATCCAGGCCATACACAGCGGGAAGGCGGGCAGATTGATCTCATGGTGCACGTAGAGCGCACCGTTCTCCTCGTCATAGACCTGCACCTCGAGGTTACTGAAGTCCTCCTCCGTGTTGGCTACGAGGATAACGCTGTCAGTGGGTCGGATCTCTACGTCGTCCTTGTCCATCTCCAGCTCATCGTCCTGTTCGTCCTCGTCGTCCTCCATTGCCACGTTGCCCTCCTCATCGGGCTGGTCAGCCATTTCATCCTCCTCCTCGTCCTCGTCCTCCTCGACAGCACCGGCGCCACCGCTAAGGTAATTATTGATGGCTGCATCGTCATCTTCCTCGTCATACTCGTCCATCTTGAAAGACGCAGGCAGGCCGTTGCTGTCCTTCTCGTCCTGGTTCTGCTGCTCTGCGTCCTCCTCTGCCATTGCAGCCTCCATGGAGCTCTGCTCCTCTTCCTCCTCCTCTGTAGCAGCTTCACGCAGCATCTTCACCTCATCGTCGGTCAGCTTGAGCTTCTCCGGGATGCGACGCGACGCGCCTTTGGGTACCCAAGCGAGCGCAGAGATCATGGCGGCCAGGTTGATGCGCGGACGAATGGACTATGAGTGGCGTGCGTGGCCATCGATTTTGAAAAACCTTATGTATAGAATAAATGAAATACGACAGTAAGCGTACATAATCGCGCGACAACTGCAACATGCACCTTGTGTAGCCAATTATCTCAATCGATCAGTACCGCACTAATACTGGAGGTGTTTGGCGATCGTCAACGGCGACATTGCGGCAATTAATAATGATATTTACGCAGGAGTCGACGATGTGAGTTGTCAAGTTGTCACCTTACTGTGTTGATACATTTTCACATTTGTAGGCAGCTTCGATCTGCTCCGCTTAACTACAGGTGTGTGATCTGTTACTTCCTGAATATCACAGGTGAGGGCTCCTTGGTCCCGTCTAAGAAGATATTGTTGAGCAAAAGATGTAAGCAAAGCGCTTCAGTCAGCTCCAATTGCCTCCAACCAGACACCGGTATTGACACGCATCTTGGGAGACTCTTACCGACTCTTGTTTGGTGTGTTTGATCCTCGTCAAAACTACGCCGCTGCAAAAGTAGGCAGATACAATAGAAACATTGTTTCAGCCTTTTAGGTTCTTGACCATTTTGCGACTGATTGCGCACCTCATGATCGTCGTGCGTCGGCATCGCTGCAAACTGATCAATCTGATGCTCGACGTCGAGATCACGTTCTCGCTGCTGTTCTTGATCTGTTGTACGAGTATATGCAAAGGAAACTGTCGGTAAGCGAAAATTAATGAAGGTTAACCGTTTTTTTTTTCAATCTTCGTACTTCGTTTTTGCTGCAAACTCGCGACAATGCTGTAAAGCAGAGGAACATGCGTGAATCGCGGATCCTCCGTGACTATAAAAACAAGAAAAACGCAGTAATCGTAATTAGCAACACGAGATGGTCACTGCCGATTCGGTAATATCCCCTCGCACCGTTCAACTCGTTCGACAAGAACTGCCGATCGAATGGTTTTTCAGCTGGCTGTCCGGACTCTAAAGGCATTCCAGCACAAAACACATCAATTGATAAACACCTCCCTCTAACCTCCTGGTCTTCATTCAAAGAAAATATCTTACCTGGCAAGAAAACTGACAGCGCATGTCGATAACCATTGTATTCGAAATACTCACGAATGAGCTCGTTGATGATCAGATTTTCATTTGACAGCTTCGGCTTCGGAACATCCTGCAAACATTACATCATCAATATTACAAGCTAGCCATCCCTCAAACCCAGCTATCACAAGCTTTAAGCGCTACCTGATCATCCAGCGCTGCAAAGATCTCCGCTCTAATTCGAGCTTTGATCTGATCCAGCGAGCCTCGTGCCGCCAGCGTATCTTTTAGCACTACGCACCACATTGTCACCATTTCGTTCAGACTATGCATTATGCAGCTAAAAACCCACCTTCTTTGAGATCCGATAGCGTCGCCTGCCCTCCGTCGGCGTTCAAACTCATATCCTTCAACAATAAAAAAAAATGCACACGAAGGGGCGTCAAACAGCCATATATGTGTGCCACACCAAAACCTGTTACTGTTGATGGATTTTGGCTCAGTGAGCGATTATCTAAGGCCGAGGCGATGGCGTCGAGTCCCGAGGCTGGCGAGCGCCTAGCGCGCATCAGTCGCATGCGCACGCTATCAGCATTGCTGGACGACGATCTGGAGGACGAAGAACAGCTGCCGGAGGAGTGTCGGGTGCTGTTTGCGCACGTGACGGCGGCCGCGTCCAAAGACTCTAAGGACTCTGGGGACGAAGACGCGGCTCAGCTGGAGCAGGCGCGACGCAACGAGTTTCTATGTGTCGAGTGCGAAGCACACGAGGCCGAACTCTTCTGCGAACAGTGTCACGACTACTTCTGCGAGCTATGCTGCGGCGGCCAGCACCGCAAGGGTAACAGGCGGAAACACACGTTTCAGCCGCGTTTCCCGGCGTCTAAGGCCGCTCCGGCAGCTGAGGAGGCCACGAACGACGTGGAAATGGAGACATCGAGAGATGCTGTGGACTACGATGTACGATGGTGTAATTGCATGCGCTGGGGAGGCTGAGGGGACTGAGAAACAGAGTACTTTGTGTTTATGTTGGTTTGGTCTGTGTTTTTGTGGTTGTAGAGCGATGAGGACGAGCTGGACGGAGACACAAGCAGCAGTGAGGATGAGGACCTTGATCGCGGTATGCATGGCGCTGACGACCACGATTCAGATGCTTCTGACTCGGATGAACATGCAGGACGCCGTAACATTTGTAACATGGTGGGTCATTATCTGTTAGGTTACCCGTCGTCGCTCGGCCCAGCAAGACTCGCGAACGGCAGCGCGAACGCTGCAAGCGCTGAAGATGCCGCCAAGATGCTGGAGCGAGCCAAGTACATCCCTGTGCGACTTACCTACGAGGAACGCAAGCTACTGCGAGCGCTGGAGGCTGCGCTGTGTGTAAGCAGTTACACGGATAAGCTGGATACGCCCAAGTTCCTGCCGGCAGCCAAGCGCGTGCGTGCTCAGCTACAAGATGTGTGCGGATTCCTATCAGCATTAGCAGTTGCATCGGACTACAAGGCCGGACAGGAGGTCCTGGACGAGAAGAACTTCGCCGAGAGCGCCGAGTTCTTCCAGGAGATCTTCGAGCTGGGCAGACGATACAAGATCATGAACCCGGAGAAAATGCGTGGTGAGTACGGCAAGCTCATGTACTTGCTTCAGGATGCAGTGAGCCCGGAGCTGCAGGAACTGCTCGGGTTCTCGTGTCTCCAGAAGATTCGTACTGTGTACGATGTGCTGGAGGCTGGTGGTGCTTTGGATATGCTACGTGACGCTCGTATTGAGACTGCCACGATGGTGGTAGCACCTGAGGGAAAAACACGCTTCCAGATCCAGCGCCAGATCAAGCAGAAGGAGCAGGCTATTCGTGCTTTGAGCGACAAATACGAGAGCAGGCGACTCACTCGTGACTCGCTCCAGCAGTGCCTGTACTCGATCGCAGATAACAACTACCATTTGTACTTTGAGCGCGACCCGATCGACCGTATGATCAAGTTGCTGACCACGCACTTTAATCCAGATGACGAGAAAGAAGACAGCTCGCTGGCCATCATTAGCGGAAATGATGGTGCTCGGTTATCCCATTCGCACAGTCGACAGTACAACTATGTGCTGCAATCGCTGACGCTTTGGCGCGAGATCGCACACGACATGTTCCGTCTCTGGTGTCTGACAGACGAGGATCTGCTCGCTGACGGCACCCGGTACGAGCTGACGGATACCGGTCAAGGTCTGCACCGCATCCAGCCTGCGCCTCGTGTGTCGCGCGCCATGCACGTTATCCTCCATTCAACACAGCGCAATCTAGACTCGTGGGTGGGCTCGAGTGTGATCCATCTGGGCGACAAGAATGTCCCCAACGCACTCATGTTCATTGACAAGTACACTCAAGTGGGGCATATCCTGCGTCCTATTGTCAAGGCCATCGATAGTATTGAGTCCATGTGCGAGTCGTCAAAGGCGATCCAAGGATACGTGGACACCACGTTCGGTGGTGCTCACAAGCTGAAGCGCACTATTCTGGCAGATTTCTTTCGCGAGGCTTTCGACGGCAGTGGCGCTGACAATTTCTTCGAGGCTGGATCGTGTATTGACGGTCGACTCACGAGCGCTTGGAACTGGTGTTCGAACCTCCACAAGAAGCCATTCTTCCCCATTTTCAAGATCACGGGCTTCGTTGGGTTTGACGGCAAGTTCGGATAGAAGAGACCCTGAATGGTGCTGTTCGGAGCAGTTAGAGAACATGATTACCACGTCAGATGTGCCTTGTTGATACTTCTCAACGCTATTGACATTACAACTTAAACTCTAACTAGTCCAGCTTTATATCGACATGGGTTGTGACGAAGATGACGACCAGTCCATACTCGCACCACCATAACTCACAGACGAACGACTCATGATCTGCTGGACAGCATACACCACTTCTGTAGCGGACGGCCGGTCGTCTGGGTTAAGCGATAAACAAGCCTTCGCCAGCTCCAGCACAGCCTTGGGACAGCTTTCCGTGAAGTCCGGGATGAGCTCTCCAGCAGCGACCATGCGGAGAATAGCCGTCTCCTCCACCTTTCCTCCTTGAGGCGGGTTCTTCGCGTTCCAGTAAGGGTAATCCTCGGTGTCAATCTCCGAAATGACAATACCTAGTGAAAAAATATCGGCACGTTCGTCGTAGTCCTTGCCTAGTAGAACCTCAGGAGCAATCCAGAAAGACGTCCCGATGCCTGCCGTCATGTGCGTCTCCATAGCGTGGCGCTCACGGGACACGCCAAAGTCGCTCAGTTTGGCCTCCATCTCTGTGTTCAGCAGTACATTCTTGGACTTGAGGTCACGATGGATCAGCTTGGGATCCAAAGAGTGCAAATACGTCAAAGCCTCAGCGATATGCTGTGTGATACGAAGCTTGTGAGCTTCCCAAGTTAGCGGGGTATTACGTAGCTGGAAGCTACGCAGTACCTCACGCAAGTCTCCACGCTCCATGTACTCCGTCACAGCGCTTAGATTGCGCAGGGTATCCCACGCCACACCGATAAATTCGACAATTCGAGGATGTTCCAGTGTCGAAATGAGGCAGATCTCCTTCATAAACGCCTCCACATGCTTCATATCTTGGCATAGATCCGTTCTAATGCGCTTAATAGCCACACGACGCCGATTGTACACACCACTATACACGAGTCCGAAGCCTCCTTTGTTGATGCAGTTGGCCACTTTAACATCCTTGAACGGAATACGGTGCGCGATGATCAGAGGATCGTTGATAATGTTGGTGTTAGCCGTGAAATGTGAATCGAACGACAATGTGTGGTCAAACACCGACTCATCGCCGTCTTTGCGACGGTTGTGAGCACGACGCTGTCGGATGAACACGAAGATCAAGACACAGACCACAATACAGGCCGCCACGATCACGTAGATGAGGTAGCTGTTGCTGCTGGACGAAGAATCCGACGACGTCGACGCTGTCGTGCTGTCCAGGACGCAGAAGTCAATTCCGTGTGCAGCCATCCACGTGCCATTGTCGCAAGCGTACGAGTCAGTAGGTGGGTCCATGTTGAAATTCGTGAGCCCCGCAATGCTCTCGTACAGTTCACTCGAGACGGTCCAATTCTGGATTGCATTGTTCTCCAAGTAAAGACTGTTGAGCTGGTTCAAGTAGAACATGCGGTACGGGATCTGTGTCAACGCGTTGTTGCTCACGTTGATAGACTTGAGTGGACACGGGTTGGCAGTGCACATTTGTGATGAGATACGAGAGTACGTGCCGTAGAGCTTGTTGTGTGATAGATCCAGGTACTCGAGACTGGCGAAACCCTGCAAGAACGTCGATGTCACCTGACTAATATTTGTATACCGAAGGGTCCTACATAACAAAATGAACCTGTCAGTAAGTATATGTTCACTAGAGATCTGAGCAGTGGGTAACTTACAGATTCTGGATGGCAAGAGGGATGTAGTCCGTCGACGCATCCAACGCAGAGTACAGGTCGATATTTTCCATCGTACTGACAGCATATAATTAAACATGTGAGTACATCATTTCTCATCGTACAAAAACACAACAATTGGCCACTCACATTTTCTGTAATGCCGATGTAGTGCCCACCTCGATCAAGGACGGATTGGACGTGTCGTAGTCGTCCCATCCAGTAGCTTCGGCCGTGACATTAAGCGTAATCGCATCTTCTCCGACTCCGACGATCTTGATGGACGTCAGGTCGTCAGGAGCGACGATAGTTACAAGTGACGTGAGTCCAAGTGTGGCACCGAATTCGAGTGTTAGCGGTTGGTCCGTCAGCTCCGTCCGTGACTGGATGTAAAATTCCCACTCAGTGGAGTTGGCGTAGCCCTCGAGACACGTACAGCTCACGCCGACGTTCGTATAGACATCGGGGCATCCGCCATTGGGCGTGAGTGTGCTGGACTTGGTCTGTACGGACGGTTTGCCGTCGCACACGACTGGCAGAGCCTTCCAATTCGCCGTGAGGCTACTGCCGATTGTGCTGCCCCATACGCTCTTAATATCGTTCGGAAAGAGCCGCGTCTCGCCGTCCTCCATATAATTCTCTAGCCAGGCCTTCACTTGGTCATCGATCTCTTCACCACTGCTGCTAGTGGAGCCCGCAGCGCGCACCACAACCAACGCCAGCGCCAGCGTCCACAACACCCGCAGCATTGGTGCCAATTGGTTTAACCGATAATGCAATTACTCTCAGTGGATCTGAGTCCGTCAGCTGTACTGGACTTTAGGCGTCGACACTTCAGCAGTCAAGAATTGAAGCTCTGCGTGGCAGCGAGCCGAAGTGTGAGTGACGGACTGGGAAGCAGAGAGTTTATCATAAGGTCGTTGTTGGCCCGGTTTTTTGTGATATCTGATGGCAACTTTATTTTCTAGCAATCCTGGAGGGAGGGAAGACCCGTTCAAAATATAAATTCTAAATTTCTTTATATTAAAACTGTGCTAGATGTCGCCCCTCCAGTCATTCGTTAGGTAAGCTACCCTGTGTTCAGTAAAAAAAAGTTAGCGGAGACTGCACTCACAGTCGCCGCTCCAGCATACGTGCGGATCGTGTCAACATTAGCTAGCACTGAAGAGCGCCGTGCGCCTAAAGCACCAGCTGCAAAACAGAATTGATGTGATGTTCACTGGTGGGGCAACCCGCACCCAAGACGGTCAACAGGTCCTTACCGTCGCTAGTCGCGGCATGGTTTGACAATCTTGCACGGGCGATATAAATATATCGGGGTCAACCCATTTGTATTGATCGTAGCATGCGGCGGAGGAGTCTTCCCAAGACAGCTCCAGCAACGCTAGCATAAATCCCATGTGCGCCGGCGCCAGCGTGAAGATAAAGCAGACGACTTCAACTGTAAGACTACTTACTATCCCTGTAGTGGACTAAGACGGGTCCGTGTGTAGTTATTTCGGTGGCAATGGTGGAATGCTGCTGCATGTGCTTGCAGCATGTCAAGTGAAAGGTGTCGCTGCGGCAAATTCCTACGCATCCATGGCCATCGAGCCACGCCCGACAAGGCACGGCCGCATCTTGCTGGTCGGCACCGTCGCGCGGTTGAAGCCGACGTCAACGTCTCTGCACGACGGTCGCGGGCAGAGCTTGGGCTTTGAAGGCGACGCAACTCGCCTTTGGTCCCACTTCACCATGAAGTTCACGCGAGGAAAAGAGTTGGTAGCTTTTGAAGCCGGAACTGACCCCCATTTTCACACGTGAGCTCTGTGGCCCAGCAGAGACCATAGCCACATCGCCATCAGGTTGGTGGATGCAGGGCGTTTGTACATATCAAACGACACACGCGCAAGGGAATACTGCCCGTAAGCAGCTTGCGAGTTGGAGATGCATTACCTTGAAGAGCTATTACATCCGGCCGCCATGCCTTCCTGACTAACGACCTGACCAGCTTGCTGACAGAAAATACCATCTACTCGAGTCTCGAAGCTTTCCTTATACGATAAGTTTCTGGAAAAGTTTTAGTAACTCAGGCCGAATTTCGGCGGCGCTAGGTCGGTCCACGCACGGGTCGCACTTGCAAACGGCGGAGCGTTATTTTCGAGATGCAAGTTCGATTCCAGCGCTCTTATCCTGGTGCTCATGCGAGATACCAAAGTCACTTAACTTTGCTTCCCGAGTTCAGGTCGCGGTGATTCATTTTGGGTCTCAAGCTAATGAATGTAGATAGGCTAACGAACGCCTAGACGACGTGGAGAGCAATTGTAGCTTTGTGATCGTTTCATGTCAACTGGAAACCGCTTTCATACTTTTGCGGAACAGTGCTAAGATGACCGCGCTCCATAATTCCGAAACTGCTGATACATCCACAAGGCGGCACTGCGTCTGTGAATCTTTCTCCAGCCAGCCCGCAGACCTGCGTAGAACGTTTGTCTGAAGATCATCATGCAACAGTGCTGCGCGACTGGCTTCCGCTACTTAGCAGTGAGCCCACGACCATCTTCGTATCAAATGTGGAACACTCACGTCCAGGCGAAATTGATCGATCTTATATCGCTGTAGCTGTGGCCTCGACTCGGCTCAATATGCTGCCTACAACAAAACTAAATATGCTGGGAGGCCAGCTAAAAGCTGGGTGGACAACCTCACCGACATTAATTGGGCCGGGCGCGATTGTCTTCTGATCCTCTAACATCCTTCGCTCAACCATGACACTTCTTCTGTTTGAGATTACAATATTGACAATTCTACTATTTGAATAAAGTGCTTAGAATTCGCATCTCCACACAACTATATTAGCAATAATCGGATTATATATTTACTTTAATAAGCACCAGAAGACGATGGCTAACCTGATCGAATAAACACTAGTAGTTTATCACACTTTGTTTTATCGACGGTGCCAGCTCTTAGCTGGATGAATTATGTGATTACAACAAAATTCTAAGTATTGTTTTTACTGTTATTTCGTTCTTACATACGAAAACTAAGTTAGACCTGCTGGAAGTTAGACATCATGAGCTGATAGTGTCGGCTAGGAGTGCGTTCGAAGACATTAGAGTGGTTTAGCAGAAAGCTACGAACGTGTGATGCCCAGTTTTTTTTTTTTTTTGCGAGGTAGGCCAGAGACGAGCGTCACACGTTCGTTCAATTGATGTAGCTACGACTAATAAGCTTTCTACAAGTTGTATACAATAGCGTATATAAATTTATATTCATCCAGCATTGTATCCGAAAACTGTATACCACAATTTGGTGGAGCACAGTCCACATCTTGCAGCAGCAGTCACCAGCCAGCCACCGACCATGGAGTCTTCTCACCCGACCAAGAAGCGCAAGGCACAAGTCCGCTTTGACGACGACGACGACGCGTACGCCCCGCACCTCGATGGGCTCAATATGCCGCACTCAAGAGAGAGCAGCCCGCTGCACTTAGCGTAGATGAGGTCCACCATGTAGCGAAAGATCAGGCACAGAGCCGTAGGAGACCTTCCGAACATCACCCCAAGATCCCCGTACCGCCCGGGGTATGCAAACCGTAGCGACTTGTGCAGGCAAATTACGCCACGCTTCCAGACCCGGAAATTGAAACGACAGTCTCCGTCGATTAATGCGTTGAAATTGAAGTTGCCCTTCAGTGCGAGGACGGGCCTTGGCACAGGGGGTTGGGCGATGAGCAAAGCGGCGTTCTCGACGAGGACGAGGTCCAGCATAGCTGCTGTGAGAGCTAAACTCTCCTCGAGCATCTTGACTGACTTGTGTGCTTCGTGAATGTAGTATACAGCTAGGAAAGAGGATAACCTCGCGTTCGCTTTGCTAAATGCGTTGCTGGCCAACCAACGTGTGCTGCCGTGTGATCAGGGTTGTGTAATTGGCGCCAGTCTACAACTCGTACATGTTCCTGCTGCTAAACCAATCTATTGGTTTATGTCGACATGAATTCGGTGGGAGTACCTCAATAAGGATGCAGTAATAGTATGGAATACTATGGGGAGCAGTAGTGATTGCAGACAGCAGAAGAAGTGACGAAGATCGGGATAGCCAGAGGAGAAGGACCATGCGAGTGACGGGAGCAGGAGGACAGCGGGACAAGGACAGCAGAAGATCAGCAGGAGTGGCAGCGAGGACTTGAAGGATGACGGTGATAGTGGCGGCGGAGACAAAGGTCCTGTAGGACGTTGTATCGGTCTGGGTACATTCAAGGAGAGCGGACGCGTGGTGGAAGCATAGCAGAAGACCGTGAGCAGCGGAGACGCGATATCTGACTGTATTGAGCGGTTCTCCTTCAACGCAGAAGGTCGCAGCTGTAGAAGATCGCAGAATCAGGAAAGGCCGCAAGGCCGGACACATGTGAAGTAGGCAGTCAGTCTTAGATTTGCTGTGAAGTAGAGAAAAGACAGCTGCGAGGTTTAACCTCCGAATAAGAAGAAGAACTGAAGAAGAGAACGCGCTGAGTTGCAGTGCATCTGCAGCCCCGAAGTGAAGTGCCGTAACAGGAGAAGCATTGCGTAGTGACCGAACGAAGTTCTAGTGTGTGGAAGGAAACGGGTATCAGCAGCCTACCCACCAGATACTGGACAGTCACAGAGAGGTATCGGAGCCCTCGTGGTAGTTTAGCCCACTGCGGTAGATTAACCCGCGACGCAGCCCTGGACGACCTGCAAGATCACTAGAGACTCGTAGCGCCAGACGACCGCAAGGATTGTGCGTGGAAGTGCTGTGTATATTCGGTCTTAGTGTGTGTTAATAGAGCACCAGACGTACGTGGGTCCACCGGCACCTGTCTGTTGGCCACAGATACGACTGGAGCGGTACGAGGTGTGCACAAGGAAGCTATTGCAATTGCCTATTCTTACTATGCTATTGGATCTGGCCCCTCCGAGACGATTATGGGCCGATTCAATCTGAAGACACTTTTGCGGCAAAAAAAGGAATGAATGAAGGCTATAACGAAATTGTATTGCACTTGAAGGTGCATTCATATACCACTTTCATGAATCACGCTACTTCGCGTCCAATTCGGTAATGAAACCCTCATTGTCTGGATCCGGCGCAGGTGGCGGATGTGACTCGTGCGATATGTACCTATCAGCAGCCAATAAAAAGTCCTTACCCTGACCCTATATCTGATTCAAAATGCACACGCCATTGCTAAAAACTGTCTTCTGATCTGATTCCGTTCACACTAATTTAACCTACCCCCTCATAAAATCGCACACGCTCAACGAAGTCCTACTTCTGAAGACATGCAACTTGAGACATGCCGAGTTTGATCACGAACTTCCGTTGTGTGGACCGACACTTCGAACCGCGCCAGCCAGTAAACTGTCCTGAGGTATGATTGGCCATCGTGGTATCACAATGGCGACTGTGACATTAGCCTGTCACACCGTTCCCCACTAAAGATGAGAAACACACCGCATTCGACGTTTGAAGATACAGCAATGAACGAGCAGCACGAGGACGCCAGCACGTACGAGGATACACTTATGGCTTGGGCGCTGCACGATGGCAGCGTCATCGTGGACGCACGCAGTCCGGGCAAGACGCGCAGCTTGTTCGAGAGATTCCGTGCGGCACGGGGTAAGTCGGCCACGGTGACCCGCACCGTGACCATCAGGTCTCTTGACAAGGCGTGGACAGCGCTTGTGAGTCGTTGGAACAAGGAAGGCGGGGCTGCCTTTGAACGTATGCTGAAGAGTCGTGAGGCGGTTCACGAGCGACTTTCCGTCAGTGCGCTGGCAGCCCAGATCTGCGGACTTTCGTCTTGGATCGTCAGTGCTGCTTCGCGCACTTTGTGGATTGATGTCCACGCTGTTGCGCTGGAACCGTGGACCGCGCCCGTGAAGAGGAGGCTGCGAGCGCGCAGCTTCTGAGTCGCCTTCATCGTCGCGTGGACAAACTGAAGCAGGAGAATGCGGAACTGCGTCGCCGCGTGCAACGCTGGGACGCTGGCGCGTGGAACCAGCGTCGCTGGGGATAACGGTAGGATGGTACCGAAGCAGGCGTCCCACGTAGAAGGTGGGGGTAGCCGGAGAGCGGTAGGAAGTTGCAGTGTGTAAACATCGCCAAGTACCTCCGACACTTTAAATGGGCCCATATATCGTGGCACGAGCTTGTTCGTGCCCAAATTCGTCACTAAAGATGGTTGAATTCCAGCCGTCGATAATAGAACGCGATCCCGTACGACAAATGTTTCGAAATGTTTACGGCCTCGCACATCCGCGTATTGTTTCTGGCGATCGACAGCTGCCGCAATCGCATCATGAACACAGCGAATAACCGACTCGCGTTTCCGGACGAATTTGTGAACAGCCGCTGCATCACGCTGCCGCAGCTCAGGATTCGGCCAGAAATTAACAAGAGGCGACGCGGTGGGCTCGATCGCATCCTGCCGCGCGCTACCAGAGAGCAATCGTCGCAGGCTGCCAGGGTCGATAAGCGTCTGAGTTGTCCAGTGTGACAGTGGGGGTAGCGTCGGGCGTCGCCTTTGTGCAGGAAACACTCCCATGACGGCATCTTGAGCTGGAGTGCTGGATATCGGTGAGGTTGCTGTCCTCACGGAAGCGCGCGTACGCATCTCTCGCGCTGCAGCCTGTTCAACGGACCGAGTCGTCATGCCATTCAATAACCCCGAAGAGGGCCCGTGAGTGCCATTATTCCCAGCGATGGTATGGTCATGTTCGTCGCTGGAAGGTTGAACGCCAGAGAGACCTTAAGACGCGGAGGGACCCGCACCCGTATCATCGCGCCCGGAGAAGTCGTCAGTGCCGGTTGAAGGCACGGAACGCGCGAGACCCAGGAGCGCTGGAATTCTAGGATGTCGACCGTAGTTGACGAAAACCGAGTGAGCCCCGTGGATGCATGCTCAGCATTGCTGATCGACCATCGGCAGAAACGAACTCTATGACTTGAAGGGTGTTGCGTAGCTGCGCAGGACGTCTTCAAGAACGCGATTTACCCGTTCCGACTAACCGTCCGCCTCCGAGTGAGCCGCGGTGGACATTAACAGCCGCGTCCCAAGAGAATAGAAGAGCTCGGACCAGAACGCTGCGGTAAATCGGGGATCTCGATCAGACAGGATCGAGGCCGGTAAACCATGGTGTCGATAGACGGTGTCAACGAAGATCGCCGCAGTCTGTCGTGCGGTGATTGAGGCAGCAACCGGTGCAAGATGTACCATCTTGCTGAACCTGTCGACAAAGGCGAGGATACCAGTGCGACCCTGGATGTCGCGAGATAGACCGAAGACGAAGTACATGCTAACGGAGTCCCAAGCACTTCGTGCTACGGGTAGTGGTCGAAGTGGGGGCTATCTCGAGGTAGTCGGCTTGACCCACTGACATACTTCGCAAAAGCGTACCCACTTGCGCACCCTCTTGTACATGTGGGGCCAGTAGAAGTCTCGTGACAGCGTCGCGAAGGTCTTTTCACGACCAAGGTGTCCTGAACTGGGACTATCGTGGAACTCGTGGATGATTCTGGCGCGAAGATTATCGTCCAACGGGACGACGGTACGTGGGGTGTCGGGTACGGTCGACGCAGTACGTTAGCAAGTCGCCATCCAAGGCGTATCGGTCAATGCGAGAACGGTTCCGCGGGGTCAACCGGAGCCGCGCTGAATCCGACAGGTGAGGGCCTTCGTCGCGGTCAGCAACGATGCATGATTCTGTGTAAACAGCGAAGGCCTGTTCACCCAGGAGGTAGACGCGGAACATGATGAGCGCGTAGCACATGGCTAGAAGCTCCTTGTCGTGGACGGGGTAGTTTCGTTCTGCAAGCTTAAACTGACGCGACTGGTAACTCACCGCGCGCTCGCGTCCTTCATCGTCGAACTGCATCAACGGACAACCGATGGCAAAGTCGCTGGCATCGCAGACGACATGGAATGATTTTGAGTGATCAGGCAGCATTAAGACTGGCGCGGTGGATAAGCTAGTCTTCACCGCGTCGAAGGCGGGTGGTGCTCTGGACGCCACGACCACATGGCGTCAGTTTTAAGCAGCTGGGATAACGGGCGGTGTGGTGTAGCAGAACACACAAATACCGTCAGATGTGGATCCTCACACAAACCACAACAATACGCCTAGTCTACAGCCTAGATTTGCCAGTTGGGCTGGCTAAGCCAGGCAAGATAGGCGCTTGTATGGCCTGCGCTGGGGTTGGTCCCCCGTGGTTCGGCCCAGCCGGGACAGGCGGTGCGCTCCCGCGTTCGCCAGGTCACGCCCAACCAAGTCAGACTCCTTCGAGCGTTCGCCAGGTGATTCCTGCGAACCTCTGTCCTTGAAAACCTGTGTCCTCCACCAAAAGATGGACGACGGAGCGCGAGCGGTTTTACAGGGCACCGAGCGCAAAGGCGTCTCAGCCAGAAGCATCACGGCACCCGGGCTATCCGGCGTACCGGCTCGCCGACCTGGCGAGTCTTGTCAGTGCCCGGCTGAGCGGGTCTTTTATGTACTCGCTTAGCGAGTCTTAACTTCTTCGCGCGGAGCGAGACTGTTGCCCTACCCGGGCCTACCTTATCTCTTGGCGCAGCCAGTCAGTACCCTACAAGCTATGCCTCTCGGGTACCAACGGCAGACATTTATCCGGCCCTGTGCAGGGACTTACCGGAAGAGTGTACACGTATTTTGAACTCGGAAAATTCTCCTCTGTTTGATCTGTTATCTGCTAGGAGTCTTTTCGGACTCCTCCTATTCTTTTCCTATGTTTCCTATGCAAATTATAAGTGAAATAGAGGGTGTCGGATCTCATCTGACCGTTCACCGGCTTCAACGGCTAGGCGACTCTTCGGACCCAGCTGACGTCCGCCAGATGAGTACCGCACTCTTTGACTCTTTATCCATCGTCAGCCAGGTCAGTACCGTGGACTTTGGGTCCTAAGCCGAGTTTGAAAGTAATCCGCCAACCAGTAGAAAAAATACTACAATAATAGTACTTTTACTGGAACAAACAGTAATATGAAACAATTTAAGTTACTACTGTTCCAGTAGACAGTAATCAATATTGAAGCTAGAAAGGTACTTTTTTCTACTGCTTGGAATCCAGAAGGACACTTGCTCATTTCCGCTTTAGACCACCGCTATGGGTGGTGTCGGGCGACGGACAAGAATCTGCGGTCTTCACGGCATGCGCGCTCTCCAAGTTTCCTCGCTTCACGTCGAATTCAGGTCCTGGGCGACGTCAAAGTTGGACGATGCGGGGTTGTTTGTGCCGGTGGAGGTCCTGTGGTCATACTAGAGCTAGCTTCTACGGTAATAAACTTTCTGGACAATGTCGACCGTGGAGCTTGGACGCCCACTTTCCAAGTTTCCACTTCAACAAGAAGCGAACAAGCCTACCCTCATGAAGTGCACCTTCGTCGAATGAGTGAACCTCGAGCTGCCGACGTTGTACCCGTGTACAGTGTGCGAGGGGGAGGTCCATCACCTGTGTTCAAACGACCTGTTTGACCCGGAGAACCTTGCTGTGCAGTAAGTAACTTTATATTTGCCTTACTTATGGACAGCTCTAACGACTACGTGAATTTTTTGTAGCCCGCAGTGCGTGTTCAGCTGGAAGGCACAGACGGAAGCGAAATCGAAGAATGATGGCCCAGAGGCGTTCGAGATCGTCGGCTCAGTATCCGATGAGTCGCGCAGACAGCTGACGTTTGAGGACGCTGGTCGACGGTTTCTGAGCTCCCTACATCAAGAAGCTGATGAGGTGCTGGATAGGTGGCTGAGCCACAATGTGCTCTGGGTCCAAGTAGCGGTACAGCAGGCTGATGACAAGGGCTTGACTGCTGAGATGATGACAGTCCTCTTACTGGTACGCCGCAACGGCACTGTACGCTGGAGTCTACAGGGCCTCTTCAAATGTGTGGATGTAAGTCGGTGGTTCAAGGAGGTGGGCGCTAAACAATTTCCTTCGATTGCCACTGCAAACTTGCTCTCGCAGGACTATATGCAGACACAACTGATATATCTCTTGAGGCACAAGAGTGAGTCGCACTTGTGAATCGCCTACACGTGAAATACCGAGCTAAGGACTGGCGAGTTGAAGAAATACACTCGGATCAAGGGGGAGAGTTTGATAACACCTGCCTTCACGAATTTGGCGCTAAGGAGGGGATTTATTTGTCGACGACCAATGGCTGTACTCCGTAAGAGAACGGAATTGTCGAGCGTGCGAATGGAAATGTTTTGCCCAAGATTCGAGCTCTACTTTACATGACAAATTTACCGGAGTTGCTATGGGGAGAGGCAGCGCAGCACGTTGTCTACACGCTGAATGTTACGGCGACGCAAGTCCTACAAGGAGTGACACCTCACGAGAAATTCTCTGGTGAACCACCTGATGTCTCGTGCTTGAGGACGTGGGGGCGCTTAACCTACTACCACATAGCTAGTGGAGCGCGGTCCAAGAAGAAGAAGCTGTCGTCTAGAGTTGGGACTTCAATTCTTATCGGGTATTCTGCTGCTACTCATGGGTATAAGGTTTTGGATCTCTCGAGTGGAGCTGTGTAGATTCACCGTGGTGGAAACTTAACCATTGTTGAAGGCTATACAGTGGCGCGTGCTTACATGGGCATGTTGTTGAGTAACGCATACGACCATGGAGACCACGACCTACCGGCGAAAACATCGCTTGTGTCTATGCAGATGCAACTGGATGTAAGGGTCGTACTTAAGTGATCGACTAGAAGCTCTAAACTTCTAAGTTCTAGACAAGCTATAGAGTAAATTCGTATCTAAATCTAAAAATGGACGCTCTTTTTTTTTTTTTTTTAATAAATTCTGTCAAAATTCCTTATCAGATTGGACGCTTTATTGTCTTGACAGAATTTATTGGTCGTAATACAAACTTTAAGTTACGACCAATAAATTCTGTCAAGACAAGAGAGCGCCCAATTTTAGATTTGCTACTTCTATTTTTGACAAGAGAACAACCATTTTTAGATTTGCTCTTCTATTTCTGATAACTTTAAAAGTGTTTTGACACTATTAAGCAGAGCAATGGGGAACGGGGCTTCAGCGTCTTCAGCACCAGCTCTGCATGGACTGTCGTCGCTGCCCTACCAGAGGAAGCTCGATGAGAAGCAGGACTCGATGTCGGACATAGCGATGGGGGAAGGGCGGCGTGCTTGCGGTAAGGAGTGTTGCTATCAGTGAAGGCAGTGGTAGATGTGAAGCCACGAAATATATGTATTTGATGAATTGGATGTCTGTGTCTTTTACACGTGGCCTGCTATGGCAAGTATGTCTTGTGAGTCGACAGGAGCGGGGTCTTCAATGCGTCCGATGGCGAGGAGACGCTTGTACGCGGCGATGCGCTCGTCCAAGACTCCTGACTTGTGCAGTGGGCGCAGTACACGCAGAACGCTTCCGGCACCCTTCGCGTTGGTGCCTCGTGTCTTCAAGAACGCGAGAACAGCGTCTTCAGCGCGGCGACCGGTATCAAGGACTTGATCTTTGTAGTCCTCCGCTTTAGCATCAAGAGCAAAGCCCTCAGTGAGGAAGAGCTTCATGAAGGCGACGATGTGGCGGAACTCCGACTTCTTCTGGCGATCGCTTGAGTCCCAGACGCGAGGCACCCTGGTGTACCATTCGTACCATGTGGCAGACAGGTTTGTAGCTTGCTTCTTTCTGCGTTTTGGTTTCCGTGCTGGGTCTGACGATGCTTGAAATTGTTCTTGTTCAGTAGTGGCGTGTGCTCTCTTTTTTTTTAGCTGCGCCGCTTCGACAATCGCTAGACGCGCCGCCAAGACCTTGTTCAAGGCGATAAGCTCATCAATAACAGCTAGAAGGTGATCATGCTCTCGACACGTGTGCGTCTTTTCTTCGGTCTGCTCTTGTTCTTGTGCAGGGACTGCAGCTTCCTCATTCAGCGCCATGGACCACGCGAGCAAGTCAGCGGTACAGATCTGAGCGGCTCCCAGGCACTCCTCCACGCGCGTGACGATAGGCGCATCTGGTGCTAGCGCTTTGAGCTGCGGGAAGTATCGTACAAGGTAAGCTGTAAGTACGCTAAGTGCTTTGGTACTCACGTTGAGCCGTTGATCTTTTAGGCCTGTGCACGTGCTGAACAGGAGCTCCTGCAAACACCCAAGCCGCTCACGCGTCGTGTGATCCTGTTCCGCGATGTCGATAACCGTGGGTGATGCGTCTGCATCCCATCCGCTCAGGACTCGTGCTACCTTGCGATCTTCACGTGCAGTGTTCGTGATGTAGGCGAACGCCTTGCTCGTCTTGGTCATGTCCCACGCCCCGCGGTCGAAGATCCATTGGGCTGCTAGGTGGTCGTCGCCGTTCGCGTGCTGAGCTCCGCCGCGGCGAAAAGAGTGGGAGGTAAGGTCGGCAGCAAGTCCTGCTGGCTCGGCAACGCGCTTGAGCATCCGGTTGACGAGGCCCTGCATGCTGTCCTCACCCCGTTTCACATCTCCTCCGCTGGGCTTCTTCTGCGACGGGGTGCTGCTAACCGTGGTGTATGTGCTCGCAGATGGCGACGTGGAAGTG